TATAAACATAATTCCTCATGGACAGCCAGATTCCAGAGTTTTAATATAGAATTCAACATCACATTAGCATCTTTAACATTTAGGGATTTCCCCATAAATCTACTTACGTGCATTAAAATTCTATTCCAGAAAAGTGCCAAAAGTTCACAAGACCATATCATATACATCAATGAGCCTCAATTTTTTTGTATTTCCAACAGAGAAAATCTGATGTCCATCTTTTTGAGTACATTCTTTGGGGAGTCCAATACTATAATTTTTTATGAACCAATTTAAGATTAAAGCCCGTTGATACCGTATTAACATTTTTAAAGATATACAGCCATTATCATTTTAATCTTGGAGGGATGTATGTTTTAAAGAACAACATATCAATTTTAAATTAAAAAATCAGAGGCAGAGTTTATACAGGTCATTATTTTGTATTCTGTTATATATATGGAATCTTAGAATAATCTTGAATCACTTTATCTGTGTTACTTACTACATCCTAAGATCTAATATGCTGTAGTTGTATGTTTTGAAATGTAAAGGGAATATTCATGAAATTTAGCACTATTCATTATTTAGAAGCTACCTACAAGGATTATGGATTCTTTCTTTGAAAACGTGAAGACCATGTTGAATATAATTTTGAAATTTTTTTATTAAAATATATTATTATTGAGAAGAGTGATACAATTGGACAAATCTGATTCTCAGATTACACAGAATGTATAGAAAATGTAAATTCAGACATGTAGTACTGAAAAGTATACAGTCTTGTGCACAAACAGAGGCTATTGGTTATCCAGACCATGCAAATGCATATATTTTATTAAATATATAGAAATAAGTAGTGAACTTTGCAATACATTTTGTAATGTAGCAGTTATTGACAATTTCCAGTACAGAGGGTTCATCGCTTATCTTTCTCATAATTATTTGTTTTTCTTCAGCAGGGACTTTTTTCTCTAAAATCAAGCTAGTAATTGGAATGGTATTTTTCTGAGGAAATAAATGTCCTAGTTTCATTTTACTGAAATGGTAAATCATATCTTACATTTCTGAGTCAGTAGGAAGAAAGCTAGCATGCTGTATCCCTTTAGGTTTAGAAATCTTGGCATATCATTAATATCCTCTGCCAACATTTCACAGAGAAAAATAGCATTATCTCTGTGACATATCAAGGGTCAGCTGATGAGAAAGCAGATTCTGTCCTGCTTGCTCTTGTGATTGGTTTATTACTTAAAGTATCTCTGTGTCACCATCCAAGGCATTGCTCTCCCAAAGTAGCTTACAAAGTCAGTTTGCTGATAGGGAGATGGATAACAAAAACATTATGTTTACAACTCATCTATAGTATAATATGCTTATAATGGTGAGGATAGCCCTCAGTGTCTGTTCTTTTACTACCTGCTTCTATTTCCAGCCCTTGTGCCTTACCCTAGACCAGTGGTACTCAAATGTTTTGGTCTCAGGACCCCTTTGCATTCTTAAATTGTTTTGCGGACCCCAAAGGGCTTTTTGTTTATGTTCATTAGTTTTTGTTTTGTTTATCTATTGATATTTACCATATTAGAAATTAAAACTGAGAAATTTAAGATATTGATTTATTTGATAGCAGGGATCCCCTGACGAGTCTTGAGGACCCCCAGGGGTCTCCAGACCACACTTTGAGAACTGCTGCCTCTTAGTCTTCAGCTTATATTCATTCATGTTCATTCATGGAGAGACATGGCTTACAATGAATCTAACCCGAGTCAGTCTCATTTCTGAGATGTTTAAGATTTTCCTAAATTACAGCAAATGCTCAAAAATACAGTCTGGGTTTCTCATTTGTATTAAACTTTTTTCTGATTATCATTGGTACAATACGGAATTTGGCCAAATATTCACCTGCCACCTCTCGGTCATTTTTAAGCTGGCTATTTATTAAAAACAGTGAGAAGATTCTTTATCTTCCTCTCTCTCTTAAACATTTTTTTCAAAAACATAAAGAATTCTAAAAGAAATACATAATATACATAATGGTTACTGATTTCTTGAAGCATGGCATAGAGAGCTATTTTGGCCTTTGTTTTGTGAATCATTCTTTATTTTATTACTGCTATTAGCTCCATTTCATGAATTTAGGTGACAAAATTCTGTACATCTTTTGTTTAAAGTACAGCTGAGGGCTGATTCACAGATTTATTTGTGACAATTTTTGTAAGCCTTGATTTAATATGAGAATGCTGAACTGGATATCTGAATGCTATGGTATGCTCAGATACCAGTTATAATTTACAATTATAATTCAGCCTAGGAGGAGAATCATTGTTAAATAAATAAATGTTGAAATAGAAAAGTCTATCTCGCTCTCCTAAAATATATAGAGCTCTTAATTTATACACATTAACATTTATGTTCTGAATGTACCCTGCATGTCATGAGACATTGTAACTGGTGAGCTACCCCGACACTACAGATTACAGAATCTTCTTAGATGGTGTTCTTATCTCATCTGCCTTGTTCTCTGAAAGAAAGTGGCCAGGTACACTTTTTTTTTTTTTAGTTTTGATTGAAACTTTGCCATAATAACAGTACTGTAATATTCCTTGCTCTGGTATGTTATGGTGTGTATTTCAACATCTCTAATGTTCATCCTATAGGCAGGCATAGTTTAAACATGACAATATTATATGAACATATAGGCACAAATCTAAGCCTATATGTTCATATATCTCTCCTTTCCTGTGTGATTTTTTATTAAAGCAAATCAAACTGGCTTATGATTTTGTGTTTGAATACATCCTAATACAGGTAGTCCATGGGTTACAATGGCAATTGGGACTGGACTTTCCATTGCTAAGCGATGCAGTCGTAAAGCATGACATCATACGACCACATTGCTTAGTGACAGCAAACCTAACAGTCCCGGTTGCCATTGTAACCTCAGGACTGCATGGGTCATTAAGCAAGGACCTCACATGACCACGACTTGGAGAGAGTCCCAGACAAGCAGGCTGGCGGGAGATACCTATGGGCGGGTGGGAGAGAGCTGTAGGCAGGTGGGTGAGTGCTGTGAGTGGGTACTACGGATCATGGGCAGGCAACCAAAACAGCAGCAGGAGTGATTTGCCACCTCCTGCTGGCTTCCCCTGCTGGCAAATGAAGATCACATGACTGCAGGACACTGCAACCATCGTAATTGCGAGCTGGTTCGCAAGTGCCTGAATTGCGATCATGTGACCATGGGGATGCTGCAACGGCCACAACTTCGAGGACTGGTCATAAGTCCCCCTTGTTCGGCACTGCCATAAATTTGAACAGTCGCTGAACGAGTGGTCATAATCTGAGGACTACTTGTATAGATGTTCTTTTTAGATGTAGCCTCTAAAATCTTTAGAACAGGGCAGCATGGACATTCACAAATAAAGAAATGAACCACAATTTGTCCTTTGCATTAACAATAAAGAATGGATTCTTTGGTCTTTTACATCTGTCTGTATGGGAATAAAAAGGGTGAAGCAGGAGTCCATGGTTCTATAGTTGAATCTTATTGGACATAATATGGAGTACTTCCACTTTTTCATTTTTTCCTCCCCTTCCTCCTTTTGTAGAATTGATCAATCTTTAGTGCCCAATTTTTTTTCCAAAAACCAAATACTTTTATTGATCCATTTTCAGACATACATAAAATAATGTAAAATAAAAATAATCAATTTACCATACACAAAAACAAAAGGAAAGAAGAACTTAGAAAATACATAAAAAGAACACTCAAACAAAAAACTTGTAATTAGAGCTATATCCCAAGCTCACCTGATTTTGTTAGAAAGAAAAATTAAGCTTTAGTGTTGACCAAGCCTGTTCAAAAATTTTTCCCAAAGGGAGAGATAATGTGACATTTTCTGATTAACTGAATATATAATTTTCTCAAATCACACATCTCCGAAATCCAATCCTTTATCTCTGGAGTTGTAGTATTTTTCCATTTCCTAAGGATTATTCTTTTTGCTATTGTTAGAGCACAAAAAAAAATCTTTGTTCTGAACATGTTAAATTCCATGTCGTTGGTATATAATTCAGTACAATATACATATCTTTAAAAAACAGTTTTCTCCAAGATACTTATTTTGTAACCAGGTTGTCAAATATCAGAAAATGATGTACTAATTAATTAGGGTTTATTTGCATAGAAATGTAAAACACTTCTTTTGCCTTAAAGGAAGACATCCCTGAATTTAGGATAGCCTTCTCCAAAAAGGATGGTTAAACAGAAAAATCTCATCTCTCTCCACTGTTGTATTCTTATAAGATCTAAGAATATTCTCCTCTTTTAAAGGGAAAACATATGTATAGTTTTCCTTTAAGGTAAATAGGGTCAAATTCATGTAGCACATCTTGTACTTGTAACATTTATCATTATGGATTTTTTTAATAAATCAAATTTGATTCATGTGGACAGTTTCTATGTGTTAATTGTTTCAGTATGTGGATATCCAGCAGACAAAGAGGCTGGATGAATAGCTTTGTTGTGCATAGGCTTTGTTGTTGTTGTTTCAAGTCAATCTTGATTCTTGGTGATTGCCTAGACTACTTCCTGCCGTTTTCTTGGCAAGATTTTTTGGGTGTGGTTTGCCATTTCTGCTTCCTTCCTAGGGCTGAGGTAAAGTGACTGGCTGAAGGTCACCCAGCTGGCTTTGTACCTAAGGCAGGACTAGAACTTGCGGTCTCCTGATTTCTAGTTTGATACCTTAACCACTGCACCAAACTGGCTCTCACAGGCTTATTTAGGGATTTCCAGTATATTGAAGATACTGTGTAATCTACTTCATAGAGGATAGAGAACAAAGTTTAGTGCTCTGGCAGTTGAAGGAAGGGTCTTATGGAAGTGCAAGTTATTAAGAATGACCATTTATTTCAGAGATTGGTAAAAGGTGTTGAGGTAAGTGCCTCTTAAGAGCTCAGAATAATCTCCCTGCTTTGTCTTGCTTTCTTCTGAAGATAACCTGATGCTTTTCCCTTTTTCTTAGTGGTGTGACAAGAATCGTAGAGATTTCTGGGGAAGGAGGCCCACTGGGGATACATGTGGTACCATACTTTTCATCCTTAAGTGGAAGGTAAGGGATCTCCATTATGAAGAAGCAGACCAGTGGAAAAAGTCATCAGAATTTCTTCCTTTCAGATATCAGCACTAGTACATACTTAACACAATCTACATATTGAAAATCTAAGTCACAGTTGAAAATGTTTCATTTATTTACACCAATCTTCCTATTCTGATGAATATTGAAGGTTCTAATATATAAACCTAAAAGCTTGGGTTAAAATTAATACTAAAATTAATGTTAAAATCAATTCACAATTAAAAATCTGACAGAAGAGATGTGCCTTTAAAGATTTTCCAAATGCCAGGAGAGTAGGAACCAAACACAAAGCCCAAGGGAGTAAGATGTGACCCTCAGATAGTCAGGCACTAAACCATTTGAGTTTTAATGATCAATAGCAATATCATAAACAATTTCTAGACAGTGCAGGTCTTTTGTATGGGCATCATACGATCTCCATATCTTGAGTCAGATGACAGCCTAGCCGTTACATTCTGCATCAGCTACAATTTCCGGACACTTTATAAGGGTAGCTGTACTTAAGAGCACAGTGCATCTCAGTCCTCAAGACATGGGTAACAGTACCAAATCTAACTGGCTCAGGAAGAGTCACAACCGGCACACTTGGCATAATTGTGTAAAAGCATTCCTTTGTTACATCCACCACCTGCAAATCCAAAGATAGCTGATTATCAAGGAACACTCTCAGGCTCTAAATCAGCTCTTTCAGGGAGAACATAATCCCATCCAAATACACTGAATCTCAGTCCTAGTGTCAGTTTCCTATTTACCAACCATTATCAGTCCTTCCCAAATATAGGCAACATTCAAGGTATCATGTGCCTTGAGAGATGGGTGGTAAGGAGCAATAGAATTGGGTGTGATGCTGATGTTAACCAACTCTAAAACCTTCCCTAGCAGTATTATTTAGATATGAACAACATGTGGAACAAGGCTGAACACTGTGACCTAGGTGTTGAACAGTTAGTTTGACTGCTGATTCTCACATTAATAAGAAGGCTAGTATTCATTCCCCAAACAATCTATAGGTGGAGGATGGCCCAACTTCTCAAAAGAGGGAGGCTTCCTCTCCTTATACTGAAAGAGCCCAAGAAAGAGAATGTAACTGACTTGATTTTCAGGTATACAGATTGCTCATTGAGATAGTAAAATACTTGCTAGAATCCTTACTAATCTGAACAGAGAGAGTTGTTTTAGAAAAGTCTGTCATATAGACCTCCAGCATCAGATATAGCCTACTGGATATAGCCGATGATTAAGGATCAGAACCTTTGTAATAGTGCCCTAAGGCATAATCCCATAAACCAGAGATAACTGCCATGGCTGATTGTATCAAAAGCTTCAGAGGAGTCCAGGAAAACTAGCAGGATTACATTCTTCCCATCCATTTTTCAGCATAGATCATCCACCAAGGTGATCATAGCTGAAAGTGTGATTGAAATAGATCGAGATAATCAGTAAATTCACATGCATCTGGGCTACAAGGCCAATTTTTTTTTTTTTTACTTGCTTTCCAGGAAATATAATATTTGAGACTGACCTATAGTTGTTCAGATCTCCTGGATTAAGGATGGATTTTCTCTATCTTTTTCTTCTCTTTCTTATGGGGGAAATCCTCTTCCTCCTCCTTCTCCTAAGCCAGCAAAGATGATCCCTGTTACATTGGGGCCAGTCCTGTACTAACCAGTTTAATCAGCTCGGAAGGGCAAGGATTGAGTAAGCAGATGGTGGCTTTTATCTCTTTATACACTGTATTGGTATTCTTGAGATTTACTATAAAGAATCCAACAGGCCAAGTGATTGCTTAGGTTATACCTCTGTGACTTGCCCTACACTAGAATTCAGGTTGAGACTGATCTGATGAACTTCCTCTGCAAAGAATGATGCAGATTCCTAGTGACTTCATAGACACATCCATGTAGTTTTCTTGGCAACAGAATGCCAGTGATTTGCCATTGCCTTTTCCTGGAATGTTTTTTGAATTTCCCATACAACTTTTTTTAAAAATTAGACTTTATTTGAACCATCTGATAAAACCCGGAAAATGTCCTTAATAATTTTGAATCTGAATTTAGCATAGAAAAGTACAACAAAAATGTTAGTAAAAACATTCTTTGCATTGTAGCAATGCTACAGCCAACATTTTTATAGTGTTTAATATCTCTTAGTACAGTATTGTATGGAAGGTATTTTGATCTTTCTAATAAAACTTTAAAGGCAATTTATGGACTTTCAAAGAGCAAAAGAACACAGGCACACAAATAATAGTAATTCCAAAATCTAAGAAGACAGAGCAGATAAAAACATGTAGTTCAGTCATGGACTAATTGGTGATGAGTGTCATTAGCATGACGATGGTGTGAGTCTCATGTAATTAGCATTAGCACTGCTGTGGCTGGATCCCCATCTTCCAGAAACAAGTGCAACCAGTACACAAACTTAGTGTTGAGGAAAATAACCACCACATATGTCAACTGAACTTCTGCTTCAAAACTATGTCTAGTAGAATTCCCATGTTGCAAATCTGGATTTTTCACTGGGTATGCTAACCATCTGGTATAGGTTGGATACTACTTTCTGCATCAATAGCTTTACTGCTTGGGCCTCTTACAGCAGCCCTGCATTTCAAAAAGTTCTCATGAAGGTTAACTGGACTGATGAACTCAAAAATTCTGGGACTGGAAGGAGAAATCAGCATGAATGTTATGTGCATATGGAAGTAATTTAGGCATACACAAAGGAGATCTCTGGCTTCTGGCCATTTGCTTGTCCCATCCAGTTTCTGTTAGTAGCCAAGTCCTCTGTATCTTTTCCTGAATGTATTTTCAACTGTATTTTTTTATGTTTTACAGGTGAGGGAGGGAAGCATAGTTTTAAATTAAAGCTTTCACCTAATAGAAGAAGCTTCTGAGAGAAAAAAGGGAAGTTTTGCAAGCAATTTAAAGTAGCATCACAGCCTTTCCATATCACAGACATGAAAACAAATATTTCTTTGTAAATAATGCAGAAAGCTCCTCTAGTAATTAAGAGGTCTGTATAGGCACATACTGTACTCAGATGCATTACTGAACAGACTACCATTCAGAATAGCAGAATTGCCTATGGGTAAGGATCCCTAATTTCTTCATTTTTTAAAAAAATGCACTTTTACTAATATGCCCAGATATGCACCATAGATGAGAAGATTCTATTTGGAGCAAGCAATCTTGGAGATTGCCAGACTCCAACAATGTAGGACTTTAAAGATGATCACCCGGATCTTGAATTGCACCTGGAAATAAATCAGCAACTAATTTGGCTCCTACCGTGTTATTACTGGGTTGTGCCTGTTAACTTGTGGATGCCTGCATTTTTCATTTGCTGCAGTTTTGAGATGTAGAACATACTACTGTCGTCCATCCGTGAGGTGATGAGTCTTTGAGTGACTGTAGTCAGTCAACAGAAGCCCTCCTCACCACAGCTTCTACCTGTCCCAGCAGAAACTGAACCCAGGGACACCTCCTGATTACACACCAGCTTTTTCTTAGAGAGCATAGTTCTGCCCAGAGCTGATCTTGGTATTGTCCCAACAGCCAACAACCTGAATCCACAGCCACTCCATCTTGCTAGGGTTGAATCTCAACCTGCTTCTCCCCATTCAGATATTTACAACTTAGGATAATAGTCAAGACTTTCACCATAGCTCCTCTATATCCTCGGATGGAGATATATAACTGAATATTACTAGTGTACTGTATATTATTGATACCAAATCCAAACCCATCAGACAATCCCTCTCTGCAACTTCATGTACAACAGTTATTGAATAAGATAGTGGAGGCAGTTGAGTCTTGAGGCACTCCATAGCAGAGTGCCAGAGGATTCCACATCTCCATCTTGACACACATTAAAACTGCCCACTCAGGAAGGGAGAAGTAATTTTTAATACCTTTTGTAGATATAACATCATGGCTATTTTATAGCTGTATACAAAGATGTGAAAAGTATACAGTTAAAAGGATGGTTTATTCAGACAATAATTATAATAATATAGTATAAATTCTTATAAATGTTGGCTACAAATGAGCTTATCTTTTATGAAGTTGCTGGCAGGCATTAAAATCTTGAATTTTGTCTTTGCTGTATTAAATCACACTCCTGTTCTGAATACATCACTATAACAATATTTTTTCTGAATATTTTGGACTTTTGAAAATCAAAAGTTTTTCCTGTATTAAGACAAATTTCTGAATCTCTTCAGATATTAGGATTATTTCTTGATTTGGTATAAGTATTTCCAAACTTAGGTCCATTACTATCTCAGTCATCTTAGCCAGAAATGGTACTTTTGAGACTGACCAATAATTTCCAGGATTTTCAGGTGAATGAAATGTTTCCTAAGTAATGTTCTTGTCAGTACTTTTTAAGGCAGGAAGGGAATTCCCCTCCTGCAAGAAAGTATTAATCACCCCCCTTAAGCAGGGGTTCAGTAATCAGCCAGGAGGGAGAAATGTCAAGCAAGCAGGAAGTAGCTCTCAGTTCTCCAGATCTTCAAAATCAGCAAGCTGAAAAGTATCCAGAACAGGCAAACATAATATGAATTACATCATAATATTCTGCCCCAACACTGGCATCTAAGGCAAGGTGGATTCTTGCAACATCTCTCCAGCATCTGTATGTAGAGATGCTGCACAAAGTAGGAAGAAATTCATATCAGTTTCCTTTGCGCACATGCAGTGAAGGCAGAGAATTAAGCATGCACTCTAGGACCTGAAGGAGGAAAGGGGAATCTATAAAAGTGACCTATCTTTTCTTGGAGCAGCAGAAGCAAATTTTGAATCAGAACCTAATGAAGATGATTTAAACTTAACTTAAATATATTTTACATTTCCTCCAGGATTCTAGGACTCTTCATCCGTGGTATTGAGGAAAGTAGCCGGTCTAAGCGGGATGGACTTTTCTATGAAAATGAATGCATTGTGAAAATTAACAATATTGAACTTGCAGATAAAACCTTTGCACAGTGAGTTTCTCTTCATTTTTAAAAAATTTCTATGGTATTCAATGCAGATCAATCCAAAGTTTCAGAAGTTATTTGACAAAATAATTTAAATATTGCATTTTCCCCTTTATGTTATATATAACACTAACATTTTTCTAGTACAGACATTTTGGAATGAAAGTATTTTACCTCCTATATACTCAAAATATTTTACCTTGCTATATACTCAAATCTGTTTTCTTAAACTGAACATTCTACTAGTTATTTGTAACATTTCCTTAGTAATCAATCTATAAACTTCAAAGCCTGTTTTAATAAAGAATCATAAATGTCATTAACCTGTCTTTTTTAAAACAAAAAGAACTAAATTAACCAACTGTTCATTAGTTTCATTTCATGAAAATTAGATATTTGTTTTAAGGCAGCTTTCCATTTCCTGTTCAAACAGTATCTTCATTACTTGCACTTCTTTTAAAACTAGACTGTTTATTATTCTAGGGTTCAGAGGATGTCTGTTCATTTTTCATATGTAGCTATCTTAGTAGGAATTTTAGATAATCAGATTTTGCCTAAAATGTGTCTGTTGAAATTTGTGTATATGTGTACAAATACTTACCAAAATATGTGTGGTCTAAGCCATCTTAGAAAAGGCATTTTATAAATGACATAGTAAGCACTGAAAAGTGAGTTTTCTTTTCTCTTTAATTAGTGATTTTTCATATGTATGTATGTATGTAAAATTTTATTAAGGATTTTTATTGCAATAGTAAGAAATAATACAAACTAAACTTAAAAGGAGAGAAGAAAATAGAAAGAAAGAATTAAAAGTGCAAGAAAAAAGAAAAAGAAAGAAGAAAAAGAATATACTAAAGAAAAAGAAAAGAAATATGTAAAGAATTGACTTCCAACCTTCATCACAAGTATAGACAACTTTAGTAATTCCTCACCCCATAAGGTTACAAACAGATAACTCTTCATCTCATATCCCATCCCTTATCTATATGCAAATCTATAAAACATGGACTTTTCAATCCCAGCGTCAGCAAAACGTCCATAAAAGGTTACCAGAACTTTGCAAACAAAATGCCTTATTTCAACTTTGATCAAATAAACCAACTTTATATTCCTTCTTTTTACTTCTAACAGTCTTAATGTTTAATTCATTCAAATATTGTTGTAGGATGTGATTTCTCTTCAGTTCTATATCCCATCACACAGACTTCCTCAAGAGTTTAACAAGCCTCTTTTGTAGTTCCAATAAGAAACATTTTCCAAATCATTCTCTTGCTTTGTCATTTGTATTTCCTCTTTAATTTTTTAAACTTCACCCAATTTCCTTCATATATCCAGTAAAGTGTCCTTTTCTATATGATTCCCTTGGCCTGTCATTTGTAGTTCCACTTTTGGTACTCTCTCTCTTTTGTCAAACAAAATTTGCTCACATTTGTCATTCCCTCATTAACTTCTTTTGCACATAGTCTATCATAGAAGCAGACATCTTTGCTAACAGTGTTGATATTGTAGTTACTAATTTCTGTCTCCATTCTTCCAGGATCTCCTTTAATATTTCTGATATTATAACATTTTGTGTCATTTTGTAAGTCCAAATATTAACTGACATCAAGAACATGGTTATCTTTTTTTTCTTATGCTTAGAAAGAGTGCTTTAGTCCCCTCTAGTGTCCAGTTTCTAAAATCATAGTCGCTTACTTTTGTTATGACTTACAATATCCAAGATAGCCAAAATAATTCTGCTTCCCATGAGAAACTATTTTTGATAATTAATTCCAAAATCTTGTAGTAAAAGTCAATATTCCAAATTTATCAGGACCTTAATCAGTTTATAACTTTCTTAGATCAAAATCTTATTTAGCTTTTTGCTGTTTATTTC